GAATTGGAGCAGGGTCCGCGAGATGGCAGCCGAATTCCCCCTTGTCGACTTTACAAGCGTGGACGTTATCCCTCTTGCCCCTCACGCTCCATCTTCCAATATCCTAGGCTACGAGGTGTACGACTTACACAACGGAATCGCGGAGTCAGATGAATCGTTTGATCTTGTACATGTACATGTGAGGTATGGGACGGTTAAGATATGTCTGCATGCTTGATCGATAGAGCGCGCCCTTACGGTGCCCCAAAGAAGATTTGGGACCTCGCCGCATTCATTCTGGAGATTTACAGAGTCCTTCGACCAGGGGGCTATTAATCTGGTCTGGGTTCGAGTCATCCTGCGAGATGCGTCAGCAGCTGACCACAGCGCCACAGAAAAATCACCAAACATGGTGCGAGCCACGCAACTAGCAGAGGACGCGTGCATTCGACAAGGGGCCGCCATACATGTGTGGAGGGACGTGCTACTAATTCTGGATTCTTAAAACAAGATATGGGGCAATGGGGTAGGGGTAGGTAGTCGAGCAAGGGGATTCACGTCTACCCAAACGGAGGCCAAGATGCTACCTGTCGCGCCGTGGCATCCCTCTCCACATCTGCGCGAAGCTGGCGTAATAATGCGACAACTATCTCGCCAGATGTGGGCTAGCTTTGTCCCGATGTTTATCAATGAAGGCCTGAGCGAACCAGAACCAGAAGAGCTTGCACGCAAGACACACATGGAGACGGCCGAGCTTGGAACAAAGCAACTATATGTCAATTATCATGTGCTGTATGCGTTTAAACCGGCTTAAAGGCCTGAAATTTCCTAGATGCGAATCCAACAAACACCGTTCCTGGGATTGACACAACTTGGGGGATTTGGCCTTTTTGCTTTGTAAATCAGTTCAAAGCATTGGGTTATTCACAAGAACGGAAGAGAGACGCTCACTGGAAGACACGGATATAATGCTCAATTTCCTCCTAATTTAGCATGCTCCCGACTGTCTCTTTCGAGCGGCTCCTCTCCATTCGATCTTACATTTGCCACTTGTGTAAATCCGGTCCCAACCTCGCTCCCGTGGTTTCTTGTACTTTAATTGTTTAGAATTCAAATAGGTTGCTGAGATGGCTGAAACGGCATGTCATGTTGTGGTTTGCTTGTACCACGCAACCTATAAATAAGGCCGATCCGTAGCGTGAGCGTTGTCTCGATATTGCTCTCGCTACGCCATTCGGCTGAAGGCATGATGACGGACAGAGACGACCCGCCGGTTTACTATGTCAACGACTTCGAAGATGACCAGTCAGACGCGCACAGTATCAGCACTACAACATCTGGGTTTACCAACAATAGCATGAGCACCCTCACTTCCAACGAAGCGTCTGGTATGCCCTTCTTCTTGACACCTGCCTCCGAGACTTATTTATATCCGTTTACTCGACTCTCAGAGTACTTTCAAGAGATACATGGTCGAACGTTTCCCCTAGCCCAAAACGCACCTCTCGTCTTTCCTGCAGACCATGTCGAGGTCCAACGCCTCGATCTTCAGCACGCAGCGATAAAGGGCCTCCTAAACGGAAACTGCTACGGACCAGTGAAGGACCTACTGTCAGAGACAAGTGAGCGACGGAAACGAGTACTGGACTTGCCTACAGCCGAGGGCAACTGGTAAGAAGTTGGTTGATTTTGTTTATTGAGGCGATTAGGACTAATGAGCAGTTTTCTTTTCGGTTCACGTTCGTGGGGGGCGCTTGCTTGAATTAAACATTGAACTGGAGCAGGGTCCGCGAGATGGCGGCCGAATTCCCTCGTGTCGACTTTATAAGCATAGACAGCATCCCCCTCGTTCCTCATGTTCAATCCCCCAACATCTTAAGTTACGAAGTATACGACTTGTATAACGGGATCGCAGAGGGAGATGAATCATTTGACCTTGTACATCTAAGACACATAGTGAATAAGGTATGTCTGAATACTTGGTTGCTAGAGAGCGTGTTCTTACTATGTCTCGAAGTTTTGGGATCTCCCTGCATTCGTGCTGGAGATTTATAGAGTCCTTCGACCAGGCGGTCTATTAATATGGACCGAGTTCGAGCCTACCCCGCGAGATGCGTCAGCAACTGGTCACAGCGCTGCTGAGAATTCCCCAAACCTAGTGCGAGCTACGCAATTGGTAGAAAATACGTGCACTCGGCAGGGAGCCCCCGTATATGCGTGGAGGGACGCCCCACTACTTCTAGACCCGAAAAACGAAATATGGCTCAATGAGACAGGCACAGGTAGTCGAGCAAGGGGGTTCACGTCTGTCCGAACGGAGGCCAAGATGCTCCCCGTAGCTCCATGGCATCCCTCCCCACGCCTGCGCGACGTTGGTATGTTAATGCAACAGTCATCTCGCGAGATGTGGACCAACTTTATCCCGCTGTTCATCAACGAAGGCCTGCACGAATCCGAGGCAGAAGAGCTTGCACGCAAGACGTACATGGAAACGGCAGAGCTTGGGGCAAAGCAACTATATGTCAATTACCATGTGCTATATGCGTTTAGACCAGTTTAAATGCTTGAAATATCATGCAGTAAGGGCGTAAATCTCGTAAACATGGTTGCTGAAACTGGAGGGTTTGCAGTCTTATTCTGAGATGGAATGGAATTGGGGGATCTTATTATGCTCGGCTCAATTTGGCGGCTCCCACGTTTTTTCTTTTCTAGCTCTCAGTTTTGTGATTGAGGCGACCCAATCATTGTAACAAGTTGGAACTGCCGTGCTCATTCGGATGAATCGCAAATTTCTTAGGAAGAAACATTGAACATTAGCTTATGCTCAAACACCACAATTTATGTCTAGATTAACAAGTAGCAAAAAAAAAACAGATCGGCAGGGGGATCGGACCCATGGCCGTTGAGATTCATATACACTGTACAGAATTCACCATAAAGCACATATATGCGTGGAGAGATATTCTGCCTATGCTCCCCCGCTTCATAAATAACTTCAGGGTATGGTATTTATTGTAGAGGATCTGCATTTGTTAGCTTATTTACAAGCAGGGTAGTGCGAGACGCTCACTGGAGGACACGGATATATTTAACACCACAAATTTCTCCCTATTTAGTATAGCCCTCCAGTCCAGGCGTCTCCTCTCCGTTCAGCCACAGCCTACGTATAACCGGCCTCGCTCCCGTGGTAAGTGTCTTAAATACACCCACATTGATTGATTGTTCACAATTGAAATAGAGTGGGGTGGCGAGGTCGCCAAGACACTTGAAATGGAATGCTATGCTGAGATCTGCTCCACGGCCTATAAGTAAGGCCAGTTCATAGTTTGGACCCCGTCTCGCTTGTGCGCTCGCTAGGTCGTTGGACTGCGGGCATAATGGGGGACAGGGACGACGCACCGGTCTACCATGTCAACGACTTTGAGGATGATCAGTCAGACACGCACAGTATCAGCACTGCAACATCTGGGTTTACCGATAATACTATGAGCACTCTCACGTCCAACGAGGCTTCTGGTACGCCCTTCTCCTTGATACACACCTTCGGGGCATACTCAAATTTGTTTACTTCTATATCTAGAGTACTTTCAAGAGATACATGGCCGGACGTTTCCCCTAGCGCGGAACGCGCCTCTCGTCTTTCCTACAGACCAGGTCGAAGTTCAGCGCCTCGATCTTCAACATGCAGCGCTGAAATGCATTCTAAACGGAAACTACTACGGCCCTGTGAAGGACGTGCTGTCAGAGCCGGGCGACCGACGGAAACGAGTACTGGACTTGTTCACGGCCGAGGGCAACTGGTGAGAAGTTACCTCATTTCTATCCGTGAGGGCAATGCGGACTGATGGGCGTACCTTTTTTGATTCATATTCATGGGGGCGTTTGCTTGGATGAACGTTGGGTTGGAGTAGGGTCCGCGAGATGGCAGTCGAATTTCCCCATGTCGACTTTACGAGCGTGGACGCTATCCCCCTTGTCCCTCACACCCAATCTCCCAACATCTTAGGATACGAGGTATACGATTTGCCCAACGGGATCTCTGAGACAGATGAATCGTTTGATCTTGTACATGTGAGGCATGGGTCGACTAAGGTGTGTCTGCGTGCTTGGTGGATGGGGCGCGCTCTTACTATGTCTCGGAGCAGATTTGGGACCTTGCTGCATTTATACTGGAGATTTACAGAGTCCTTCGACCAGGTGGGCTATTAATCTGGTCCGAGCTCGAGGCCTGCACACGAGATGCATCGGTGGCTGACCACAACGCCGCCGAGAAATCGCCAAGCCTGGCGCGAGCCACACAGCTAGTAGAGAACGCATGTATTCGACAAGGAGCCGCCATAAATGCATGGAGGGACGTGCCACTGTTTTTGGACCCGAAAAACGGACTATGGTGCAATGAAGGGGGGACGGGTGGTCAAGCAAGGGGATTTACATCTATACGAAATGCGGCCAAAATATTGCCCATCACGCCGTGGCATCCCTCTCCACATCTGCGCGACGCAGGCATACTGACACAACAACTATCTCGCCAGATGTGGACTAGCTTTGTCCCAATGTTCATCAACGAAGGCTTGAGCGAACCGGAAGCAGAAGAGCTCGCACGCAAAACCTATGTGGAGATCGCTGAGCTTGAGACAAAGCAACTATATGTCAATTATCATGTACTGTATGCGTTTAAATCAGCTTAAGGGCTTGAAATTGCGTGCAGTAAAGCTCTAAATCCCGTAAACACTATTACTAGAATGGATGAGGCCTAATAACCTACCGTCCTGTTTTGAGAAACTGAATGAAACTAGAGGTAGTTAACATGTTTGACGCGGTACGGAGGCAGGCATTGGCTCCTACATTTATTTTTCCCTTACACTATTCTCGGTTTTGTGATCCAGGCGACTCAGGGATTGCAGCAAATCTGAATTTGCCAGGCTTTTTCGGATCGATCATAGTTTGCTAAGAAAAAAACCAATGTGCTTGAAGCCGGCGCCAAAAAGAACACAGAAGATGCAGCATGCAGTAAAACAAAATGGTCAGCAGGGGGGTCGAACCCATGACCTTCGAGTTATTAGCTCGACGCTCTAACCAACTGAGCTAGCCAACCTTGAATGCTTCTTTGGTACAACCTTTCTGATTGCTCAAAACAAAAGCCTCTCAATGCAACCGAACATCTACCCTCACCCTTCCACCCCAGAATCAATGAGGAGTTATAGCACAAGCGCAGGACCACCATGTCGAAGGCGAAATATACCTATGCCCGCACCTGCAACAACATTCACAAACATATATATTTGCTACGAACAACTTACATATTCCAGAATCGCAACGCACGAACAAAACAGCCAAGAAAGATGGGATGTTACGAAACACATACACACCACACGCAGAAGAAACGAACAAGAGAGAAAAGAGAAAATGTACGACCCAGTCAAAACAAATGCAAAAGCGAAGCGAGAAATCCAGATACTGTACACAGCACAGCGCAAAAAGAAAACTCAAACCCAAATATCTAATGTTCCGCCAGGGGCGACGGAACAGGTAGAGGAGGGGGAGGTGGGACTGGCGTGGGCCACGAAACCCGGTGGAAGCTCTTCTTCTTGCGTACGCTAGCTTTATACGCGGCGCGCACTGTGCTGGGTTCGGTTCCTCCATTGATGTTTCCCACTACGCCTGGGCCAACTCCACCAGAGACACTGACAGAGGATGTGCTCCCTGTTGGCGAGAACAGACTCGCTGCACCGACCGTGCTGGCGGAAGTGGCACTCGACGGGCGGGTGCTCCAGGGCCCTGTTAGGCTTTGGCCTTGGCTGGCGAGTGTTGGAACCTGATTCAAGCTTTGACTCTGCATGAGGGCTGGGGGAAGCGAGAGAGGGAAAATGCTCCTGTAGTGTGCTTCTTGCGTTTGGGAGCCTGTCCGTGGCCTTGAAGGAGAAGGGGCAGGCTTCTGCGACGACTCTTGGTTCGCGGCAAGCTGCTCCATGCGGCCCTGCCACAACCTCCGGTTCAACGCACACTGCTCCGTAATGGGGTGCAATTCTACCCAAGCAAACAAAGGTCAGTCAGCACATGCCTTCAATTCGCAGAGGTTAAAAAACGTACCAGACACAACAGCCGCCGTCGCATCAAACAACGGCTGCGTAAAAATGTCAATGAAATTGACCTGACCTTGTGCCTGCTGCCTCGCTCCATTCACAACGTCCACTTTCACAACCGTTACCGGTAAATCCAACTCCTGCTCAAAAGTAGCCTGGCACGCCCACTCTTCCAGCAAGACTTTAGACCAATGCTCTGATACGGCGTGGGGCCGCGTCTGATAGGCGCAACGTCGGAACATTAGTATAGATAGGGAGAGGGGAATCAGAAGAATGGGGACGTACAGGGTTACTGATATCGCCACACTTGATCAACGCCTGGCAGATCATCAGCCTCTCCTCGTCCTCGCTCATCCCTCCAAACCCGGCGCCAGCTCCCGATCCCGATCCCACTCCGGACGCGGCGTACTCTTTAAAGTTTTTCAACCACTCAAAGTGAACGCTCATGTCCGTTGCGAGCACAGTTTGTACGAGCAACCACCTGAATCCACGCGCGGCGCGTTGTTGCTGCTGCTGTTGGCTTTGATATGTTGCAGCCAAACCAGGGGAAGAGGCGTATGATATGAGGCCGATACGGCCTGTACCCATGCCTACACCTGAACCCGCTCCGGTTCCGCCCATAGCCACACTCGAGCTGGGTCTGTTGTTGGATGGTGTCGGTCTAGAGGACAACAAGTGACCCATGCCGTATTTGTGCATGAGACGCAGGAGGAGGGCACAATGGAGCTGTTCGAGTGAAGATTTATGGTCAAAGACCTTAGAAAGTGGAGTATCTGCGTTTGTCTGTCAAGTGATACCAGTCAAATGATCAGTAGCCCGTCACACGGCCTTAATATATACTACCTACCATGAACGCATTGCTCAACCCCGGGTGTCCTACATCGTGTCCCACAGCAGCCAACAACAGCGCAAATACATCCACGTTGCGCAACACTCCAATTCTGCCCGTCACCCTGGTCCTGCGCCATTTGGTTCCTGCAGTCGTCCTAGGCGACTGACCCAGTCCGTTGATTAGCTTCCCTCCCTGACCTTCCTTTTCTTGAGTGGGCGTCGAGCCGTTGGTATATACGCCGTTAGACTTCTTTGCCTGAGCCAAAATCTTGACAGGTGGGACAACCCCTGCTCGGCAAAGGAACCAATAAACAGCTTGGAAGACGTCTAGCGCATGTTGGAAGTTGTGGTATTGGTTTTGGGTACGGTATATTTTGCGCACAGCGCGTAAGAATGGGGGGATCTGGTCTGCTACCACGTATCACTTTAGTTACGAGATTAAAATGACGAGAGACAAGTGCTTACCGAATCGGACGCCTGCTTCCTCTTCCATCCCCTCGACCTCAAACGCAGCCTCAAATAACAAGCTCGCGCAGGCCAATACATCGGTATCTGCAAGCTTATGAGGTTCAAACTCCCACCGGTCAAGTAGTGTGATGAGCTCTTCTCGCCGGGTTGGGTCGACGTCGTCTGGGTGAGTTGGTTTCGATGTGGCGGCATCTGGGTTGGGACTCGTCACAGGGGTGGGAGTGGTAGACTCATCTACATTGTATGCAAACGGAATGTGTGGATCAGAAGCGGAGTGTGGTCGTCCAGTGGAGTATGGATAGGTCAGAGGGGGAGAAGGCGCGCCGTCGGAGGTAGCACCATCAACAGCAGCACCAGTCTGGGTATACATTTGAGACAGAAGCTCGGCATACCTAAATTTGAGTTAGAAACCAATATCAGGTGTCAAAACAAATTATACACACATGGCTTCACCGTGGCCGCCGAGATCACCGTAGTTACGCTTAGGAGCCGAGATGTTAGGTTTTGCCTTTCCTTTGGACGGAACACCGAGTGCGAGCTCATCTTCTGCACCGGCCCAGCCACCCCATCCACCACCGTGCCCTGCAACACCACTGAGCGCAAGAGCAAGGCCACCAACATCCACACTACGACGTCGAGCACAAGGAGGTAGGGCCGGTGCATATATGTGTGGGCAGGAGTAGGACGCTCGAGCGGCAAGGTGAGGGGGAGGGGGGACGAGTGGCGCGAGCGAGGGCAGGGAGGACATGTGAGAAGATGCGGAGGGCGGTTGGGGTTGATACGATGTCGACGCAGCAGGAAGCGAGGCAAGCGAAAGCGAAGGTTTGGCGGCAGAGGGGCGAATTGGAGTTGGGGGCACGACGACCGGATCAGATATAGGCACAAGAGGCTTGGTCAAAGCCTGAGGCGTAGACCGCGATGTAGACCATGGCGGGACCTTTGTGAGCTCTGCACGCACAGAGTCAGGCGTGAACGGAGGGCTTAGGACGCCCACACATCCCGCCGACTTTAGTGTATGCGCAATCTGGGGAGGAAGCGGGGTGGTTGACGGGGTGTACGCTAGATGCACATGAGCAACACAATAGAGTTGAACATTTGGGCACGCACCAATCACCGGAATGTTCGTCCCCGCCAGCTCCGAGATAACTCGCTTCACATGGGCAACCACGCGCTCGACGGCTGTTGCACTGGCAGATCCTGAGAGCTCGATGCTTGACACCGGCCGCGCTCTCCGCGGAGCAGCCGGGGCGGCCGCAGGATCAGGGCGGGACCAGCTGGAGCCCATGGGGGTTACAAAACAGATGGCGGACGGCGTGGTGAGGGTGTCGTGCTCTTCAAGGGGAACTAGAACGACGGCGGGAGTGCGAGCCGGAGGCGCATAGGGCGACGAAGTTATTGCGCGCACGGACAATTCCGCATCCGGCATTCCTTTGTATTCCCCAATTGCGCCTAGCGCGACAACAAGTCCCTCCGCCTCTCCCAACCCACCTCCTATCCCGCCCATCCCCCGCGACTTGTGCCCCGGTAACGACCCCCGGCTGCGTGTCGCCGCCCCCAGCCCCGGCGACCCCGGGATGGTAACGCTCGCCGATACAGACGACCGTCGCGAGTGTGAAGACGATGCACTCGACGCTACCGTAAGCAAGAGGACCGATGCGCTCGACATGATTCGCGTTTCTGACTCCGTCTCCGGCTGCGTGCTCGACGTCTGGCTCGGCCTCGAGTCAATCAAGGGTTTGCCACGTGTTTGCCATGCCCTCGACCACCAGCTACCTCGCATCACGTGCAGACACACACGCATACAGCCTACTCCGCCTCGCTCTTCTGTTCCTTTCTGGTAAATTAAAGCTCGAGTGGTTGGTAGCTCCGGACCTGTGGCTTGACACCTCTGGTTGATCATCAAGAAAAGGTCGAGAGTTTGTGGTTGAGAGCCGAGGCCGACGCACAAACATGTTTTTTTATCCGATGACATTCACGTTGTGACACAAAAACAAATGCTGTAGAACAAAAACAATGCGAATATCCCAGATCTTGGTGAGCTCACTATCTCGAAACGAAAGCAAAAAAGAATCTCGTTCAACCATCGCGCGGCAGTTAGCTGTGGATCACGAAACCACCTTCAGAGGATGCACGAGCAGACATCGGGGAAATATAGTTCGGTGAATCTACTCTAGAGCTTAGCCTTGCCTTCTACTATCTTCAAAAACGCATCCCGAACATGTCGCCTCTGCACCTTCCCAGTTGCAGTCTTCGGGATTGCATCAGTAATAACAATCCTATCCGGAATCTTGAACTACCCACGCCCACTAAAGCATCAAACTCCCGTCTCGATACAATAAAACACACCACTGCACCCACCTTGGATATCTTCCCCTGCAACTCCTTCCTGATACGCTCGCCCTCCTCTTTCCCCCGGCCTTTGTGCTCCGCATCGAGCACTACTCCTGCCCATACGACCTCGCCATACTTCTGATCAGGCACACCAAATGCCACGGCCTCTCGTACACCAGAAACCGAAAGTAAGGCGGCATCTACCTCGGGAGGAGCAATCTTCTCCCCTCCACGGTTGATAAGCTCTTTCAGGCGACCTGTGAGCTTGAGATGTGGTGCAGATGGTGTTGGGAGGATGAGCCCTTGGTCTCCAGTACTGTCAATGATAATTGAATGAGATTGAGAGATAGGAATGATACAAAGGTGACGTACCGGAACCACC